TTAGCACCTGGCAACTCACCTGGGGGACTGGGTGCTTCACACATGCCAAAGTGACTGCTTACTGGTATAGTCTCTCAGGTGTGGCAGTAGTTACCTAAGCTTTAAAATCCTGCATGCACTTGATCCAGTAAAAAGCTGGACACTTATTGGAAGGAAACATTCTTGAATAGGCACGGTGATCTGACAGTAAGGACCTTGATGCAGCCAGACTTGTGGCACAGTTGCTTAAGCCACTGATTGTGCCACTGGCATCCCATATGGGCACTGGTTTGAGTTGCAAATACTCCACTTCTGATCCATCTTGCTGCTAATGCACCTGAAAAAGCAGTGGAGGATGGCCCAAGTACTTATGTCCCCTGACACCCATGTGGGAAACCCACATGAAGATTCAAGCTTGTGGCTTTGGCTTGCCCAACCTTGGCCACTGTGGGATGAACCACTGGATGGAAGATATTTCTCTCTCTCTCTCTGTAACTCTGCCTTTCAAATAAATAAACACATTTTGCAAAAAAAACCCATAAGGACACTGACTACAGCTTGATTTGTAATAATAAACATTTGGAAATAAATATCTCAAAGGGAAGATGCATAATGGAAAATGAAACAGTCCCGAAAAGGCAGTGGTATTGAAAGATCATGCCTTAAATATAATGATGTGATTAAAGCAGAGGTTACAACATGGGATGCACAGCATGGTTAAAGCAGAGGTTGCAATAGGGGGTGTACAGCATGACAGAGAAATGACCAACTTGAAAAGCTCTCACACTCCTTCTGAGTTGTTTTTCTCAGACTGAACATCCTAACTTCCTTGAGCCACATGTCTTTGAAAGATGGGCCCACTGTTTTGGACTCAAGGAGTGGCCCAGGCATGTGGGAAACTTTGGGGACCATCCTGGGGAGTGTTCACGGGACATTTCCTTGCTTCAAGTCTGTTGAATGTGCTCTGCATAGGCAAGGCCCTCTTCAGGCTTGGGACTACCAGCAAGTTTTTGGCTGATGGGGAGAGGATAGGAATGGCAGAGAGACTGGAACACGCAAAGGCACAGCACTACAGAAGGTTCTGGTATGTTCAGGGCTGGGAGAGTGATCAATTCAAAGTAAGACTTCTATTTGACATTAATGAGGGAATCTGGGGGGAGAAGCAGATGACATGAAAAGGTTGGCCTTTCTATGAAGCGAGTCCAGGGTTTGGGGCTTTTGCTTAGTTTTTCCAAATCTGAAGCTAAGGAATGACAGGCTGAGATCTTTGTTTCAGAAGGAGCATGGTGGTGGCTGTGTCCTGGAAATAAAGGGATTATTTAATCAAAAGATATCCTGTATATACTGAATGTCTAAAATTTTAGGAAAATATGTATCACTGGATTGCAATTTAAGTGGTTCCTTCTGGTATTCTTTCTATTTTAAATAACCTCCATTGCTCTTTTTTTTCTTTCTCTTTTTTTAATTTATTTGAAAGAGAGGGATTCATTCCATGGATTCATTCGCCAGCATAGTTGGAGGTATCTATGCTAATCTAAAGCCAGGAGCCAGGTATTCAATCATGGTCCTCAATGTAGATGGCAGGGACCCAATTATTTGAGAAATCACCTACTGCTTTCCAGGGTGTGCATCACCAGGAAGCTTGAATCAGAAATGGAACCAGGGCTCAAATCCAGGGACTCTAATATGGACTGCAGGTGTCCTAAGCTGTGTCTCAACCAAAATCTGCTTCTCTTCTGTGTTCATCCAGGAATCGCTCAAAGGGCTCCAAGGAGCAAAGGAACTGTGAACTCACCCCAGGCAGAGCTAGGAAGACAGGTGACAGCAAACAGAAAGCATCCCTACCTCTGGGACTTACACAACTCTATGGAGATGGCCACTGTCCTAGGGCAGGGCAGTTGCTCTGTACTCAGGCCTCCTGGCAACCTCCCCACCCCGCCCTGCCATGCAACGGGGGCTGGAAACCCTCACTCCCTCGGGCAGGCTGAAGGCTCCGTTGGTGGGCTGTGTCTGCATCTACAGGCCTGGGTGGGTCCACTGGCAGGAGAACGGAGTAGACAGGCATTGAGGAAGAGGAACTGCCAGGTTTCTGTGAGGTCAACATGTGTCTGAAGCAACTCTGAATGTTAACAGAGAATGTAATTAGGTGATCCTTGTTTTTGTTTTGTTTTAAAGGAAAAATTAAGAACCTGTGACTCTTGTTCACGAGCTCATGATGGAGTCATTTCGCGTTTATGGAAAATGTGGTCAGCCCCATCCATCAATACTGAGGTTCTGAGAGTCATCACCCTGCAAGCAATGCAGACTGCAGTGCATCTCCGAGTGTTATGCAGAACAGAACAAGCCAGGACAGCCAGCAGACAAAGCTGCAGTACAGCTCTGTCCTCCCCCGGGCTTCTGGCAGCTCTGAGTCCCCACTCATGCCATCGCATCTGCTCCTTCCTTGCAGAACTCTCTAAACACATCAAAATGTCTTTGGCTGTCACCACGACCACAGGACACAATTATCTTCATTTATTTCCCCCAAGGATCTTACAATTTGAGCAGAATTGCTATAAAGAAAGCATGTTTGAAAAGAAACTGGACAATCGAGATTTGTGACAGTGTGGAGAATCTTTTCAAATATTTCCTGATTTTTCCTGCACTTCAGATCTGCTGTTCTCTAGAATCATCATGCCTTATTATCCTATGCTAGCCCTATGTAAAGAGAAAATGAATATGAATATCCATGATTAACTAGAAATGTCACAGTTACTTTATATTCAATTTTTATTAAATATACATTCTTAATGGTTTTCATTTTTGTACCACTTAAAATTTCTCCTTTGAGTAAATTCACTAAATGGTTCTTTAAACATATGAACAACCTTCAAATGTAATATAACTTTCATTCAGAATTAGCGATAAAAAGATTCAATGTGGGAGTAATTTAGTGGAGGAAATTTCATCACTTTTCATATCATTGTTCTTGGATTTCCAAAATCAGCCTTTTGTCTTCAAACTCTGTTGGTTCCTATACCTTATAAGTGATGTTTATATCATTTCTATCCCCCTCTTTATACATTTCTATATATCATCGTTTGCTCCATTTTATGAAGTTATTTCTGCCAAACTGCCCAGTTGAGAATAAAATGTTAAAACATTTTAATAGAGATTTAAAAACTTGCCTGAAAGAGGGGAGAGAACTGCATTGTACCTGCATGTTCTCCCCAAAAGTAGTACGGCTGGATCTTGATTTATGCATTTGATTTATTTTTTAATCTGTTAGAGCTACCTCACATTAAAACATTTTACTTTTCCACAGATGATTTGTAAGACCAAACATTTTCCTGAGTGCTAACTTTATGCTCTGTGCCCATTTCTGTTTAATGCAGAGTTTTTAACTTTAAGATTTGCTATGGAAATTTGTTCTGGTTGACTTTTCAGGAAAAACTCTTCACAAATTGTACACATCATGAGAGTCAAGTTCATAGTATTTACACAACTGGCTTTTATGCCAGATTTACCTAGTGTCTTTGCTATCACTTAGAACAGGAACAGTTAGTTGGGCAGAAGCTGGACCAAACTATGAAATGCTGGGGAGTCCCCTCAACTACATCCACCTGTGCCCAACAGGTACAAAGGGAAGACCTGCCTACCGGGGTCCATTCTACCATGCGAAGGAGCAAGCAACATAAATCAATTGCAATTAGGCTTTATGTGTTGATGAAACACCTGCTAATTAATTTAGAAGAATAATTATATGAAAGTTGAATGATATGTTAAAGAATAAATGGTTAAACAAAATTAGGAAAATGATGTTTCACAGGAAAAATACATAGTCCTTGGAAAAGACAAGCCGGGAATGCTGGATATAAAACACAAGCTTTACTCAACTTAAAAAATATGATCAAAGGTCTCAACAAGGATTTAAAACAACCAAAAATCTATCCCAGCTTTTAGACAGTTTTTATACATAATCTCAGTCTGAAAATAAAAGGTTAAGAAAAACACCTTCAAGACACACTTCAACAAGCGATCAATCACCCATAGATGGTAGAGCAACACCAAATAAACCATTATGTCTATGTTTGCCATCGATGGAGAGTATGTGTTCAACAGTGAGCTAAACCTTTCACAGGCATCACCTTCCCAACCAGTCACATCAGGAAGCAGTTACTGACTTCTTCATAAAGGTGAAGGCAGAGAGGAAATGAGATTCAACCCCCAACCTACCTAATTTGAAAGAAACTCTTAATCAGCCATTTGCATTTTATTTCTCAGTTCATGTATTTGATTCCCAAGGAAAAGGATAGCAGATACACATTGCTGGTGAAGGAGGGAAAAGCCCCAAGCTTTGCTCTACCAAACTCCCAAACCAGAGATTCACTCTTCTAAGAAGAAACACGGAGAGCCTGATTTCAGAACTGATTGCTTCCAGGAATGTAATTGATGCTCTGAACCAGAACAAGCTATCCAGCCTTTGTTGTCTGCTTTCTCCTTTTCAAAACGTAGTCACGTTTCGGACACTTCCTAAGGTCTCTGCTGGCTTACCTTTTGAGCTCTTCTTGGTGTAGGCTACCAAGCTTGACCCTGAAAGTCCCTGGGCGAATTCTCACCCAGGGCAGATGACTGCCCACATCCCTGGGCCAGATGGGTATACTACCTGCTGGAAGATGGTGGCAGTTTCCCAGGGTCCTTTATCCTCTGTCCTGTGTTGCTCTCACTCAGTTCCTCACCTCTGGCCAGCATGGCTAAGGACCAGCACACCTGCCTGCTGGGTCTGCCCCATGCATAACCCAGTGCTACTTTCCTACTCACTGCAGCTGTAAACCAAGAAGCTCAACATTCAATGTACTTCTGTCACAACCCTTTAGAAAAGCAAACAAAAAATCTAACAAGTAAGTAACATTATTGGTTTGTTACACAAGAAGTAACAGCTGGATTTCTCTCTCTAGAATTAATTCCAACTACAAAGACACAGGCAGACAGAAAAAGAAGACGTGTGTGTTTGTGTGTGTGGGGTTATTAATGAGTCTTACCGTGTCTCCTGGCTGCGGACGCATCACGGACACACGATCATATCCCTTCCTTAATAGGACCCACAAGGCATCGAGTTTTCCCTGAAATAAAACAAACATACGGAGATTAAAAATGAAAGCAAGCCAGTGGCCAGCCACCATAGACACACAGAACCTTCTGTGTATCTGTAGTTGCCAAATGCAGAGATCTGCAACATATTTGTGTCAGCCTCGGTGACTCTCCAGTGACATACATGCAGGACCCTGACTGTCATGAAGGAGCCACCTACAGCCCAAGTGCAGCCACAAGTTTGCAAAGAGCAGGTTCATTCTAGTTCTTGGTGTCTATCCTCACCCCATTTCTGGGTATTTCCTCACATCACAAGCTCATCTTTTCAATTTTCACTTAGTTTTCCTTTTCACTTGTTGCTCAGAATTCAGAAATGAAGACAATGATGACAAATTCTGGACGGTCACTAGACACAAGGCTCCTGGTATGCAGGTCCCCGATTGTGTACTGAACCCACTCAGCAGCTACAACCTGCTCAGGAATCCTGGGTTCACGAGATGAATTTGCAAATATCATATACCCTTTGAGGATGTATGCAACTGATTAAAACTGAGATAAGAGGCTGTGACAGTATTGAGGATTTCACAGTTCTGATACATGGCACTCCTAACAATGACTACTAATGTCGAATCTGTGACAATGAGAAAAATGACAGCAAGTTTGGTTAAGAACTGTTGAGATGGGGGGATTATTCTGGATTATCTGGTGAGCCCAATATAACCATGTGGGTTCTTGCTGGAGGGAAGAAGGAGGATCAGAAATTGAGAAGGTCATATGCTTACAGCAGCACCGAGTGGGAGAAGTTTGAAGCCAAAGATTCAGCCTAATGTTGCTGCCTTCAGAGCTAGAAGAAGTACAAGGCAGCTAGTGTGGGCAACCCTCCAGAATGTGGGAAGACAAGGCTTTGGTCTCCTAAAGCTTCCAAAGGAACATAGCCCTCCTACATCTTGATTTTATCCCAATGGGTCTTGTTTTGGGCTTTTAGCCGGATGAGCTGTAAGATAAATAGATACATTTACATTGTGTGAAGCCTAACAATTTGTGGCAATATGTTAACAGTAGCAAGAGTAAAAGGATCCAACTCTTGGCACTCTCTGACATGTTCTGTGCTTCTTTGATTGTTGTGTCTCTGCCCATTGGAATGCCTGCTGCATGGAGGCACAGGTGCTGCTGGTTTGTTCACTGCCACATGTTCACCACAGCATCCATTACATTTTTGTTGGATAAATGAGTGCTCATATGTGCAGGGTGCTTGTCTATCTATCCTTCTATTTAATTTTCTCCATAGTCCCCAAGACTGGCAGAGAGGAAACAGAGAGCATGTGACCTTCCCAAATGTGCATAGCCTTGAAACTGGAGAACTGTGATTGGAACTCATTTGTCTCAAAAGCATCATGTGTATATCCTACAGGTTTTTCTTCATACAGATCTTCTGGATAGAGGATTTAATTTAGGTCCATTAGAATAGGGTTTCTAAGCTCTGGGCCATATTCCTTTAAGACTTTTCTCAAATCAATTTTGTGTGTTAGGACCCAAATTTTAAAGAAATAGAAGAGGGAAGATAAGTATTACTTTGTGAAAAATGTAGTAAGTACAGGGCTGCAGGCATCCAGTGGGTCAGAATGTAGGATGTGCTTCCCAGGGAGGTGTGATCTGGAAGAGGCCTTCCAGTCCTGAAAAGGCAGAGACAGTCCAGAAGGTTCCAGTTTCTAGATGCAAAACATTTTGGTGACTGTTAAGAGTCATCTCTAAGACTTTATATTCCAAAGCTATTTCCTGGTGGATAATAGACACATCTTAAAAAACTGTGTTCTTGAATCTTTATTGACTGCTATTCCAGTTCCTGTGGGTTAAATGTTGTCTTGCCAAGTGTAGTGTTTCTCATTTCTTTTGGCAAGGAGGTTTCAAAAGTCTTTAAAAATATTTTGCAATGACTTTAGAAAGCTGGCAAGAACTGCTGCTGTGTGCAGCATGGTTTTCTGCATGAAGCTGTTTCAATCAGCAGCTGAGTTTTTCCTTTAAAGTTATGTGGGATCAGCATTTATAGTTCAGGATATTACCAGGTGGGTTTCCTGGACGAATGCCCCTTTTTCTTTTTCTCTTTTTTTTTTTTTGTGGGGGGCAGGGAGGAGGGATGTGTGTGGTGGTGGTGGTGGGGACTCTGAGTAGTTGGCTTTGTAAAAATCAGCCCACCCACAGTGTGGATGCTAACCATTTGGTTTCCTAACAAATGAGGAGCCCTGAGATGGGGCTAAAAGAAGAAATGAAGAAGTCCATTAATTACTTCAGCAGAAACTGGAGCATATTAATTAACTCAGCAGAAACTGAAAGCTGCATGCCTAGCCGAAGACCAGAACCACCTGGATTGTAGAACACCAGGAGAAAGAGCAGTATAGTATGCTCTTCTGTCACAACCTTTCAAGCTGCAGCATCTCAGCATGAAGTGACGGGGTCAGATGCCTCGAGTATATTCTGGTCTACCCCGCCCTGGCCCTGCAGCTTGGATGAGACACTTCACCTCCCCAAGCCTCACTTTCGGTGCTCTTGAACATGGAGGTAATCACTGTCTACTAACCACTGTCTACTCTTTAGGCCCAGGAAGTTGAAATTAAATAGTGAAACTAGGTACCTGTCTCATAAACAGTCTCCATTAAATGTTACCTAGGCTCAGGGCAAAGTCGTGAGAATGAAAAACGCAAGTGGCTCTGTAGAAAGGCAGAAAGGCGTATGGCACAAAGTACTAAGAAGCCAAGGATTCCAACTCTACAAGCTTCTGTCTGACCATCTTCTAACTGGATGGCTACTGGCTCCCTTAATCACAATTTCCTCTTTCCTCAAACCAGATAGTTTGATTTTTCTTGGGTTTTGGCTCCAATCTCTCCCCCAAAACAGCTCTCACTAAGGCCACCCAGATGTTTCCACACCGAGGAGAGACTGGCTGGGTTGGGTTGGGGTTAAGTGTTGGGTTGGGATCAGGCCTGCCCTCTGGATGTTCTCCCTTGGTCTCGGGGCTCCCAGCCTGTCTGTTCCATTTTCCCTCTCGGAGCAGCCCCATAGAGCTCCCCTTGCTCCCACTCCTCTGCCTGACCTGCTGGTGTGTTCTCTGTGACTTCTGTTGTCATGCAATGTGTTCTTATCTGATCTCGCCTGGGAAATTCTACCTAGATGCCCTATGAGCAGATGGCTCCCAAACTCTGTCTCCTGATGGCCCTCTCTCGAATTCCCAATCTGGGTATAGACTGACCTATGAAACCTTGATTGTAGTATTGGTATTTCACAGGTAGAGGAAACCAAACCCTACAAGTTAAACTAAGTCTCTTCTGCCCAGATCTCCCCTCCTCCCCATTTGCATAGGATGCCATAGATCACAGCATCACTGTCCATCCGCTCAGTCAAGGTGTACACCAGAGGCTTCTGTTAACTTCCTCCGTCTCTACCTGCCATCTCCTCATGTCCGACCTCAACATGTCTGGGGAGTGTGATCTGCACAGCAGCTCTCCTGTTGTTTTCCTGTTCAGCCCCTTCTCATCATCTCTGACTCATGCGTAGGGCCAGGCCCTTACTACCTGTCACTCATTCTGTAAAAAAAAAAAAAGGTTCCAGATCCATCTTTTACCTCCAGGGTTCCTTATCCTCTCTTCATCTGTTGATCAGTAATGCACTTCATTGCTAGCCCAAATAGAAACAATGAAATCTTAGGGAACCTTGATCTTCTGGTGAAGGGGTCCAATGTTATTTCAAAACATGAGTGTGCTGGGCTGGGCTGTCTGAGCCCATTGTTATGGGGCCAGCAGGGCCTTGGAGAAATCTTCTAACAAAGGCCCTGGCCTTTCTTTAGACCTGGGAGGAGTCCTCTTGGCTGACGTAACTTTATTCATTTAGACTTGGACATCCATCACCCTCAAGCCTCAGAACGGGAAGCCCAAAGAACCCGGTTCCCACTTCTCGGGGGAAGTGCTAACTGCTTCTATGGGACTCCCAGCACCTTGGGATCCTCCAACAAGGTGTACGAGCTGACACTTAAAAAAAAAAAAAAAACCTTCCTTGTCCACAAAGTCAAAGTGTTTTGACTATAAAATGAAAAATCGACCAATTCCAGGCTTCCAAACTGCATCTCACTCAGCCCCAGACAGTAACTTCCAACCCTCAGAGGCAGACAAACTGGAAGTTCTTCGTAAACTTGAGCTTTCAGCCTTTCTAAACATTGAGTCTGTGCTTGTCACTCACAGCACCGTGTGCAGGGATGTTTACAGCTGCCTTTCCTTTTTTCTTTCTTCCTTTTCTTTGTCTTATTGATAGACTGCAGCTGTGCCTTCTCTTCTGGCTTGTCCACCTTACGTAACTGGAAGTTAGAGCTTGCGATTTTTGAGAGTAGCTCAACTTACAGAACCACTGTGTATTCACACTTGTGTTTTTATACCCTGAAATATATAGTGAATTGTGTAACTTGGACTTTCAAATAAAATCAATCACAGATCAAGTTGCAACTTTCTTTATACACACATTATTTTCCTTTCCTTTAGGTCTTTAAGAAAAGCATCCAGAGAGGCACAGGATCTCGTCCCCTCACCAACAGTACCTATGACAACACTGGCTGCTCTACCCAGTCCAGTCTCAAGCCAACACACTGCAAGGACAAGTTGTTGGACAGCAGATGTGCCTTACAGGTGATGAATAGAAGATCATCCCTTTCCCACGTCCTTCCAAATGGTGCAGGCTTCCCCTGTCCTTCATAGTCTGGCTCTCTTGCAGAGAACAGCCTGTATGCCTGGTAAGCCAGGGTCTGGCTTTTCTCTGTTAGCTGTCATTTCTAGTCACACAGAGAGAACTACTGGAGAGGAAGACAAATCATTTATTTGAACCTTGCAAGTATTCCAACAAACCTGAACCCAGATGTGGTTTTAATTTTATCTGCTGATCATGCCCTCTTGCTGGGCATGACTTCACTTGCTTGCAATGGTCAGACCCAGTTTAATGAGAAGCATGGGGTATTATAAATCCGGGGGTGGGGTGGGGTGAATGAAAACTGAGCAAAGGAAAATACAGGCTAAATATCAAGGAACAATTCCTGATTCTGAGCCGAGATTGAGGAAGAAGGGAAGTGTGGTCGCTGTGGTCATTGCCTTGAATTAGACTGGGGGGACAGGGAAGGGGTGGATAGAGCCTGTGGTGGCCCTCTTCCCTATGTGAGCACCACAGGATTTGCACGGGGAACACACTCACCTGCTGCTCCGATCTGTTTCATGGAAGGCTTGAAAAGTGAGTCGAATGCAAAACCTTGAAATATGTTTATGACTCTGCGTCTCTCGCTGAGGCACCAGGGGCCTTTCCAGTGCCTACTGACAACTTTGTGCTAGATAGAGCAGCTTTTCCTGGTTCAAGCCAAGAGTGGACATGTGTGTCCCATGAGCCACCTGACCCTATCCTTTCGGACTTGTCTTAGCTTTCCTTGTTCCCTGCTTTAGAAGCCTGCCCCGACACCAGTTGCCTTCCTTTTGGTTTGGCCAACAAGTGGCACCAGAAGGCGATGAGAGGGCAAGGTGAGGGTGTATTCCTTCTGTTCTGCTCTGTCCCATCAGAGATAGCTATGTTTTTATAGGGCAGGGGTCTGTACACACTTTCTAAAAAGAATCAGAGAGTGAATTAAAAGGAAATTTTCTGTAAAGGGCTTTGCAGTCCAAGAGGCAAAATTTAAGGAAAATGATATGCTATTTACATAACCATTCAAAACACAACCACTTAAAAACATATCTAGCAGTGTCTGGCACGTATTAGGTACATAACAGGTAATGAGTTGACATGCCAATTTCAAGTGGGCAATATTTTCAGGTTCCTAAATGTATCTGTCCGTATCTTTACTCACATCAAAAAACTCAGTTCAAAACCAACAGTTAATAGAGGAATCATCATGCTTGAGAGCAGATACTGAATCCTTCATACAAAATCAGTGTTCTTACAACATCCAAGATCACTGAAATGAAAGTCCAGCTGCCATCGAAGATGTGTTAGTCACAAGGTACAGATTTTTGAACGCGAAGTGCTAGAAATCCCCTTTCTTTATTGTGCAGAGGCTGCCTGGCTTCTTCCAGTCTGCACATGGATGCACGCTATTGCACGCTCCACATTAGAAATGAGTTAGGAGCAAACAGCTGTTTGTCAAGCATGCTGTGTTGTGCCCACATCTTTTCAGCGTTCAGTCCATCTCTCCAGGGAGATTTATCTTGAAAAAGAATCTCATTGCTTTAAATATGGCAAACTCAAGTGGGAACATTAAATATTAAAATTTGTGTGAGTTTGAGCTAGCTCAATTGAAAAAAACTCAACCATGAAGTTTCATGCATTGTTTGAAATGGTATTTTTTCTTTTGCTTTTGTGGGAGGAAGGGCTGCTAAAATTAGCAAGCGACTTGGCGAGCAATGAAGATGATTTTCATTGTCATTGGAAGAGAGGTGAGACTGTGTGTGAGTGGTATGTGAGGTGGCAAAGGGAGCGGGCCTGATACTGGGCTGCCTTTTCTACTTGAGGCCTTGACACTGTGCCTGTTCTGTTTGAAACATGGAACTAGAGGCTGAGGCCTTGATATGGGACCTTGGGTTCTAGACCTAAGTGGAGCAAGGACTTGATCTATGTCAGTTTCCTCCAGGATGGAAGGCGGGAGTAAGGGCAGATTATGTCTGGAGTCCCCTCAGCTATGACTTTCTAGTGCTCTTGGGGAGTTGACACAGATACTTAATGGCCAGGTGAAAGAGCAAGAATGTTAACCTGATCACATGCCATTGTGTCTAAGAGAAACAGAAGACCCCTCTAGAAAGCATTAACTGCCTCCTATTGCTTACGCATCCCATGTGGCCATCGGGGATCCTAAACTCTAGAGCTGTGTGGGGAATAAAGATGGTGGAGAACAAAGGATATTTTCTCACAAGCGGGATGAGTGAGTCTTAGATTCATGGTCAATGAGAAGCACTGGTGGGAGTCTTGGAACAAAGGGGTGTGGGCATCTGTTAAAGCAAGTAGTCAGCGGCACCAGGGGGGAGGTTTCTGCTTTTGTTAGGTAGTAGGCTACATGCAGCATGAAGCTGTGAGCTATTACGGAGATGGTATAAGGAACTTCTGTGGCCACTACCCATAGCCCCTGTTCATTTCACTACCTTGCCTTGTTGAACTCCTAAAAGCTTAGGTTACAACTCTGATAACACGGAAATTAAGAAAGTAACTACTTGCTTTTGTTAAGTCCGAACTTTAAGAAATGTGTTCCCTTATCAGCTGGGTTTTGGGTTGATAATTCATAATGTCACAAGATTCTGATTCTTACTGTATGTGTGATTTATCAGGACCAATGACAGATTTTTGAGTAGAAAGAGACACACCTTGATGGGAGAGTACCACTTCCGGGGAGAAGAGGGCCGACGCATATTATTGTTGAGATTTCGAGGCTCAGGGAATTCGTACTCTTGCTCGGGCATCTTCACTCTTGCATTCTTTGCCTTTTCCAACTTAGCACCTTCTTCTGTGGAGCCCTTTTCTCCCCAACGAACCTAAGATAAATGAAATACAATACAATCAAGTGACAAAATAAAGTGCACTGCCCTCTGAGAAGGACAATGGCAAGTGCCTGTGTGATGTGGCAGGCATGTTCTACCCAGTTCTCAATATCTTTGGGTTTCTGAGGCTCAGGGAAAGGGGCAGCTGTGGAAAGGGAAAGGGGAAGAGCTAAAGGAGCACAGTTAGCCTTCTGCATGGATATTTAGGGGAGGAATTGCCCAGCAGTGGGGTAATATACACAAAGGCCCCACAGGCCCCACTGACTTGGATTTTATTTCAAGAAAAGATACCAGTCCAGTCGGTGATTGGAACAGATAAGTGACCTGCTCTCACTCATGGTGGGAAAACTGGGGTGCCCAGTTAAAAGTCTCTGCTTCTCACCTCTCCAGTTCATGCCTTATCAAGCCTGTGTTGCTGCCAATTTGCTCTGAGATTGCCTTAGTGGTCATCACATGGATACATGCCTGAGAAGCCACCCTCTTACCTCCATCCTTTTAATGCCGCCAACACCTCGCCCGCCATAGTAAGAGGCATCTACTGTGGGCCATTTCTTCTTAGGTAGACCATCATCATCTTCTTCCTGCAATGAGACAGCAACACATGAAATGGGCAAAACATCCCAGCTACATAGCCCACTCTACACAGGCCCACTATGGCAGGATGCATAGGCATACAGTCAGGCCACACTACTGCTTACTGGGACTCTGGACAAGTAATATAACTTAACTGAACTTTCTTTTCTTGTCTGGAAGGTGGGAATGAAAGCAGTGCTGTTGATAAGTTGGTGGCACAACTGTGGAACTTACTTCTCTTTTGCTTCCCTATTTCTTTGTAGAGGATCTCATCTAATTCCATCAGTACACTGAAGATTTGTGAATCTCTCTTTAGTTCTAACTCCACTGAGCTCCACTGTGACTTGACATCCATGTCTTCTCTTGGGGCTAATAAATGTGTTAGTGATACCACACAAAGATTTCCTCAACCCAAAATTACTTTTCCTGTAGGCTTTCCCACTGCTTGGGAGCCTCCCTCGCTCTTTCTCTCTCTGTGTCTTTATTTTTTCAAATACTTATTTTTATGTATTTGAAAGGGAGAGTGAGAGTGAGCCAGAGAGGGTATCTTCTGCTTACTAGTTTATTTCCCCAATAATCCACAGTATGTGGGGCTGAGTCAGGCTGAAGCCAGGAGTCTGGATCTTCACCCTGGACTCCTATGTGACAGGTAAAGACCCAAGCACTTCATCCAAGTACTTGTGCTGCTTCCCAGGGTGCACATTAGCAGGAAGTTAGAATGAGTGGAACCAGGATTTGACCCCAGTGACTCTGATGTTAATTGCAGGCGTCCCAGTTGCTACACCAAATACCAGTCACTGGGAAGTACTCTTGAATCATCGGCTTCCCCACCATCCTTCCTATACCCCATGCCAATTTGCTAGCAAATTCAGTTGCCCCTAAAAGATCCCAAATCTACTTGAGTTCTCCATCGCCATCACCACTAGCATCCAAGTCCCCAAGGGCCTTCCCAGACTCTTAGCTGGCCTCCCTGCTGCCATCTGATTCCAGCATCCTGTTCTCTGCAGAACAGTAGCACAAATGCAAACCCTCCCTCTGCCCTGAGTGTTGTGCTGTCAGGAGCCACACTGAAGCCATTTTGAATATAGACCTATGGGACAGTGGAAAACCCCTGGTTGGCTAGATGCTTGGGAAAGAGGTTATGGAAGTAATCATACACTTAGCTTCAATTGTTTCTAGCAACTGTTTCAGAATGTGATTTATGCTGTATCTGCTGACATCTTGTTACTGATTACCTATGCTATTGTTGATATGTTGGTTACTATTGTTGATACGGTGGTTGCTCAAGAACAATTGGTCTTGAGACCATGGTCTGCATCCCAGTTTCTCCTAAACCCTCAGTTGAAATCAACAAACTGACAGCTTGATCAGACATCCTGTCTTGCTGTCCATTCTTCGTGTCTCTTGTCCAGTCATTCTTTCCTAGGTTGGTTGCGACCCTCGTTGACTGTCCTGCAGGACGGGACATTGTGCCTTTGCCCAGCATCTCAGCCTTTCCCTCACCTCTGTCCTCTCTTTTCCTATCTGTTCCCTGCACCCCTGCCCTTGACCTCTCCCTGTTCTGCAGATACACCAAGCACATTCCTGTCTGGAGGCTCCTGCACAAGCCATCCCCCGACTCCTTTTTTGGGAATATTTTCCCCCGACTTCTCAGGGCTGGTTCTTCTTATTACTCCTGGGAGAGACTCTTCCTGGACAATTTTCCAAAGTAGCCCCAGTCTTTTGATCCCATTAATTCATTTTTATTTTCAGCAATACATCTCATCAGGGCTTGATATTTACTTACTCATACTGTCTTGTCCCTTCACATGAGAATGTAGCTTCCATAGGAGTGTTACTTATCCTGTTCACCATTGTGATTCTTGCCTTTAGAACAGTTCTACTTTATATGTGTTTAGTGCCCAATATATTTGCTGACTTTACAAATATACATTACATGAGATGACCCAAAGAAGGCAGTTAGCTCAGTATTTGCGGTGTGACTCAGTGGCAGAACGTAGTACTCACTTGTCACACAAACTGATAGAAAATTTACAGGAATTTATACCACTACAATTGAAATAATATTGTGACCATTTAAAAATGTTAAATTTTAAATGAGTCAAGCATCTTTTCATTTGGTTACTGTTCATAGTCATTTGTATATTTGCCTGATGGGCTATGGTCTTTTTCATTTTGATTTGCTGAACTTTTAATTTTAGTTTAATTAAATAATTTATTTATTAGTTTACCTTGACAGCAAGGTGAATTGAAAACTTTGTATAAAAAAAAAGGAATTAGCATTTATGTATATCTTAAGGGGAAAGGAGAAAACAAGAGGAACTTGTCACTTTATGGATGGAAAAAGGGAAGAACGACATCAAAACCACTCTGTATCTTGGCACTGTAATTATGCTGGCATGGGGAGAATCGGCACCTTTCACAGTTAGGAGGGGACAATAAGGAAGGGCTTCACTTTGCCTCCCCAGCAGGCAAAGGATGCAGGGGAACGAACCAAAGAGGATGTGGCCGTTCAGAAGGTGTCTACTGCTCACAACATTGTGGTGGGGGCATCTGAGGAGTCAAGCACTCAGGATGGAGCCCTGTGTAAGGGCCAACTGACTCACGATGGAATGGTCCCGCTCTGGCTCCCTGTCTCATCCTGGTACCCTGCACTCCCACTCCTGTACTTGAATATAGGAACTTAAAGGAGGAATTGCATCACACTCGCATTTGTGGACTCCCTAGGAGATGAGCTGCACACCTTGGGTCCCCCCACGCTGCTCTTGCCTACGACTCCTCCCATGCTCTCGCTGCTCCCCAATGGGTGGGGTCTGGGGAAGGGGGTCCGCCTAGCTAGTCAGCATGCGTACACATGACCTGGGGTTCCTGGGACACACAACAGGAAATGCGAAGACTTTAGAAATCTGGTCCACATGCTCGCAATCCCTCAAGTGCCCAGACCCGAACTTGCCTGCCAGACTCAAACAACAACAAAAGGCCCAGGGTTTGACCAAGGAGAGAGTCACAGTTTCCCTTGCAGTAAGCTAGGCTCTGTTTACACATTCTGGAGAGCAGAGGGTTTTGCAATCCCCCGGGAAGTGAAGGGAGCCTTTGAAGTAGCTTTTCATTTGGCTAAAAAGCCGAGGGAGGAAACATAGTTCCCAACAAGGCCAGCGAAAAACTCCACGGCACCTGAGGGTGAACTTCTATGTCTTCATGCAAGGCAAGAAGCTCTGGGCAGCTCCCTGCCGCTGCCCTTCAGGGATGTTTCAGGGTGGGGAGAAACAAGTCTAGAAAACCTTGGCTCGAGCTACCTTTATGGTAGTAAAAAAGAAACAAAACAACCTTAACGTGCTCCGTGGTTACTGGAAGACAGGACCGGTCTTGCCAAATTGCTTTGTATGAGCAAAGTGGTAGGAATCACGGAACTCAGGCCATCTTGGCAGGAGGGCAACAGAAAGGAGTGGAACTAAGCCAGGGAGCAAACTGCCAGGGCCCCTGCAGAGACGGCTGGAAAGCCCTGCAGGACTAGGGGTGGTGAGGCAGAGGCCAGTTCACCATTCTGCCACCCAGCCCTTTTCTTTTCTTTTTCTTGTTTTAAAGATTTATTTATTTTTATTGGAAAGGCAGATATACGGAGAGGAGGAGCGACAGAGAGGAAGATCTTCCTCTCCAAGGAAGATGGTTCACTCCCCAAGTGGCCACAATGGCTGGAGCTAAGCCAATCCAAAGCCAGGAGCCAGAAGCTTCTTCCAGGTCTCACATGCAGGTTCAGGATCCTAAGGCTTTGGGCCGTCTTCGACTGCTGTCCCAGGCCACAAGCAGGGAGCTGGATAGGAAGCGGGGCTGCCGGGACACGAACCGGTGCCCATATGGGATTCCCATGCGTGCAAGGCAAGGACTTTAGCTGCTATGCTATCACTCCGGGCCCCTCGTCCCTTTTCCTTTTAAACCACCCTACAGAGGGGTCCTTGCACTGGTATTGTCATGTAGGAGTGTAGGAATCAAGTTTGCTGGATGGAGTCTGGCAGCTAAGATGCCAACTCAGGAGAGATAAGGAGTCATGGTACCTGGGAGGATGGCGGCTTTCAAGGACAGAGGCAGGAAGGTGTGAGCCAGTCTCACATGATGGATGCCAGTAAGGACCTGACTGTCCTCATGGAGCCTGCTGTGCCCTTGGGTTCAGTCCGGCTGCAGCTGGAAACAGCTGTAGACTATGAAGGCTGATGTACTCTTCGGTTAACATGTAATTGGATTACTCTCAATGTTGTCCTCAGACTCTGGGTTTTTCCATCTTTCCCAACCAGGCCATGCTCTTTATAAAGCTCCAGGCTGTGCCATTCAGGGCTGCATATGCTTAGAATCCCTTGCCTACTTCTGCATGTTCTTGGAGAGAAATTATGTGTACCCTGTGAAGAACTCCCCAGTTCTCCAGAGTTTTTTCTTCTTGTGTTGCTACAGCACTTTGTATTAACTAGTTCACTGTTGGGCCTGGCGTGGTAGCCTAGCGGCTAAAGTCCTTGCCTTGCACGCATGGGGATCCCATATGGGCACCGGTTCGTGTCCCGGCAGCCCCGCTTCCTATCCAGCTCCCTGCTTGTGGCCTGGGAAAGCAGTTGAGGAAGGCCCAAAGCCTTAGGATCCTGAGCCTGTATGGGAGACCCAGAAGAGGCTCCAGGTTCCTGGCTTTGGATTGGCTCAGCTCCAGCCACTGTGGCCACTTGGTGAGTGAACTGGCAGACGGAAAATCTTCCTCTCTGTCTCTCCTCCTCTCTGTATATCTGACTTTCCAACAATAATAAAATAAATCTTGGGGAAAAAAAGTTCAATGTTATTCAGCCAACAAGCAACAACAAGTAGAAGCGGTGAGGTCTGAGCCGGGGGCTGCTTCACTCCTTTCCGTAGGTTGTTCTGACTTGATGGGAGCAAGACCCCTAGAACTGTGCATATGGGTCAAGTTCTTTAACGGTCTTTCTGCTCTGATACTGATTTACTACAACAGTGGCAGAGTTAGCTAGATCTAAGT